GGGAGTGGACATCCTTGTCTTGTTCCTGAGTTAAGAGGAAATGGCTTTAGTTTTTCACCATTGAGTATAATGCTGGCTGTAGGTTTGTCATATATGGCCTTTATGGTATTGAGGAAGGTTCCATGGATTCCTAGTTTTTCCAGAACCTTCATCATAAAGGGGTGTAGGATCTTGTCAAATGCTTTTTCTGCATCTATTGAGATAACCATGTGGTTTTTATCCTTGCTCTTGTTGATGTGATGAATTATATTAATTGATTTGCCTATAGTGAACCAGCTTTGTATCCCTGAAATGAATCCTGTTTGATCGTAGTGTATGATGTTTTTGGATGAATTGTTGAAGTCAATCGGCCAAAATTTTGTTGAGAAGTTTTGTATCAATGTTCATCAAAGATATGGGTCTATAGTTCTTTGAGTCCCTGCCTGGTTTTGGGATGAGTGTTATTATAGCTTCATAGAATGAATTTGGTAGTGAATTTTCTCTTTCAATTTCATTGAAGAGTTGAAGGAGTATTGGTGTGAGTTCTGCTTTGAAGGCCTTGTAGAATTCTGCTGTAAAACCATCTGGTCCTGGGCTTTTCTTACACGGGAGGTCTCTTACTGCTGTTTCTATTTCAGTGCTTGATATGGGCCTGTTAAGATAATTTAGCTCATCTTGGTTTAGTTTCAGCATGTCCATATTTGCTAGGAAAAGGCCTCTCAGCCTGCAGGAGAACTTTGCCTGATCCTCAGATGAAACCCTGTGACACCAACAACATTACATGACTTTGTGGAACAAATCGCTCAACATCAAATATATTCTATTCTTCAGAAAATTCAAAAACTAAATCCTAACTAAAACAGAGTCTCAAGTCCAAGACCTGATACTCAGTCGCTTCCTCCAAAGAAACTTCTGACTGCCCAAACATGAACGTTCTCTACTTCCATGGAGAAATTCCTCTCCCTTTCTTTTGGAGTTCTTTCTGGCCCCTGGCAAAGACCTTCCTCTTTCTCTGCCAGGCCTCTGCTCTGGTACTGCACGCTATTCCCAGTGCAAATTCTCCTCCACACCATCGGTTACATGCCTAGGGGTGGATGCCTGTCATGTGCCACACAAGACTGACATCTCCACTCCTCCCTAATCAAGCCAAAGCCTGTTTCCTTCCTCTGCCTCATCTGTCTCCATAGGTCCTATGATGTGGCCTTCCTCTCTGCTACCCAAGCTGCTAGTCAGACCCTCAACTCACAACTACTAACACTTCAGGATTGTTGCATTTCTACCCTGCCACTGCAGATGGAGGAAACATTCCTGTCCCAATTAACCTGTCAGTCTAGTCCACAGCCCATGCCACTTTGCATCTGAGGTATACTGTGCCAAGCTCAAACTCAGATCATCTCTTCCTGAAAAATCCCTCATCAGACCCAACCTCTCTGGACTGTGCCTCACTCAACCTCTTTCTGTACAAAGACTTATTTCAAAACCTGATCCATTTTTAAGAAAGCTTTCAAAAAGTTCTCTACTTTTCCCTCAAGAGTCCAAGCTGGCCCAACACATTCTTCTCCTTTCCCAAACTGAGAGAACCTTCTCTGGTTATAGTCATTTTACAGCTGACCAGAAATAGAATTGTACTCAATGACCATCACCTGCTCCTGAGCACCTATTCCCAACCCTCTCCCCATCTGACAGCCCCTATGAAAATCGTGGTCTCTGTTACCAGCCCCTAAGGACAGATCAACAGATCTAAGTTATACAGGAACCCAGACAATCAGAATCAAGATGGGACTGCACCTTGATAGAACAGGGGAGTGTCACAGGCTAAGCCTCACTCCGCTGCAGCACTAACAGCTCACCAGGGAAAGTGGTATCTCACAAAGCCTGGAGCACCATGCTCAAACCTGCTTCCTGTGGCCCATTGTGTCTGCCACTACCTGGAAATGCCTCTGAACTCTATTTGGTTCCAGACTTACACATCCTGTTTTTACTCCAGTAATCCCAAACTTTGTACATTCTGTAACCAATCTAACTGTAACCAACCTCACAGTGTATAAAAGAACCCATGTTGTGTGTCATAATCCTGTGTTCTATTAGGAATGGCCACAGGAGACTCATTTACTCTGTATAGACTCATTCTGTACAGAATGGTCCTTATTGCTAAGCCACTAGGTCAAACTAGCCAACCCTATGTGGACTGTGCAATACTGATTCCCAACTGTGGTCTTCAAACCATGGGGATCTAGCCCTGTTAGATGCCAGCCAAGAAGGGAACCATGTAATCCTGCAGGAGGAATTATTCTTAGTGGTGTAAACATGTAATTGAAGTCACTTGGAATGCCCCCCAAAAATACAAAAAGTGGATGTAGAATGGTTTTCCTGGAAGCTAGATATCTGTTCAATTTTTAAATGGCTTAACGCCTTTTATTGCCCCCTGGCCAAAGGCCCTTTTTTGATCCACCCATTCTCTGCTTTCTGACAAGCTTCTTTGAGAACAAAACAACCCAAGGATTAAAACTTACTCTATCTCAGGACCCAAATTTTTTCTGAGCTATTCAGTTTTTTTCTGTCCAAGTGACAACCTACTTCCTCAAGGTCTGTGACCCTTCCCAGCAGAACGCAGCTGTAGAAGATAAAAGAGCTTCCATCCAAACAATCCTAGAGTGGGGGTCAGCCCTGTCAATCTTAGGGAGAAGCATCTCTTCCCTGGCCAAGGAGAAAATACATAACCAATGAAAAGGCATAAATGACTTTAATTGTATACCAGAATTCCATTTTATTCAGTACACATGCAACTTTGGTTTTTTCCGACCCAGCTATTAACTTACACTTTTTCTGAGAAAGCACACAGTACTCAGTAACTTTGGCATATCTCCAGGTCCAACCACAACCTGGTCACATGAAGACACACATCCCATCATCTGTCAAGAGAAACTAACTCCCAACTCTGAGCTTCCTTTTAAACCTCTGTCTTACAAGATGTTCATTACGTACATGCAATATATTTGCTGAAAGATGGTACAATTAGAAGTATAACCATAAACAACAACAAAATAAAATAGCTACAACTGCTGAGGGACAATGCTCAGGCCCAGAATTCAGGCCTGATGACGGAAAAAAAAATGCCTGTGGGCTTCCTGATAGCAATAGGTCCTCAAGAGGATCCACCTGTGCCTAATAAACCAGCGGCTTTGCTTTATTGTAACATGTGTTACCAATATGTTCTCCAAGAACCACTGGAGTCACAATGAGAGACATAAATGGGGTAAGCAATGCAAAATTTACTTCTACACACAATGGTACACCACCAGCCAAAAATCTGGCAAGCAAGGACACAGAGCAGGCAGTCTGCCCCATTATTTATCCCTAACACAACAGCAAGCCCGGCCCCTCTGCTCAGATTGGTTGAGCTCAAGTTCTGCTGGTGATTCCCTGGTTTGAATACAATAAAATTTACATAAAGTGAGTTTCAAATGAGATTAACAATTCACAAGCAACCTCAAATAAGCCCACACCTCTTGCTATTTCTGCCACAGTCTAGGGTGTGTCATAATCCCATCTTGAAAAAAACGAGTAGAAGACAAAACCTTACATTTTACAAATCCTCCATCCCAAAGCAGTTCCCTTTTTCGTAAGTCAAGCCCCCAGGCCAAAGCACGAACTCTGAAATAATACACTTGAATAGAAAAGACAGTTTTTCTCACACATGCATATATGTCTAAGGGAGGTTGTGTAGCATTTCTGCAAGTTTCATCTTTGAGTTGTTCAGAGACGTTAAATTTACCTTCCAAGGTAGGAAAGCAAGGCTGCTTGCCTTGAGCTGAAGAGCTGAGGGACAGCTCCCAGCCCCAGAGTTCAAGCTCCACAACCAAAACAGTATTCTTGGTCTTTCCTGGTCTGCTTTGCATTGCCTAACAGTATGCCGTGTGTTTAACCAGGTACAAAAAAGCTGTATAAGTCAAGAAAGGTCATGTAGTAGACCCCTCCCTCCCTCAAGAAGTGCAGAACTTGCTTTTAAGACTCGAGAGCAACCAGGTCAAAGCATTTGTATATGTTGGAAGCTGTTTTGCTGACAACCAAGGCTCAGCAAAGATTTCTCTTATCGGGGATTTATCCCCAAACAAATTCCTGGTCCACAAGACTTAATATGAATAAGCTGTACAATATTAGCCCCATTTCCCCTTCAGTTTTCATTTCCTAGATAGCAGTTCTTTATTAGAAAAAGTTTATTATAAAGGTGATGTACAGGGAGGTTACAGTTACATAAGTCAGGCAAAGAATACATTTCTTTTTGGACAATGTCACCCATTCCCTCATTCCCAGTTTTTCCCTCCCTGTAGGCAGCAGTTCTGCACGTACCACCTCCAGCCAGTGCTTCTGAGGTACTGAAATCGGTGACTATTCTAAAAGCAAATGACCACTGCCACATGGTAATATACACAGAACTAATCAACAAAACCAAGTCAGTGTTGATTTTTCATTTTTGGTTTTGCTTGGCTGTGGGGCTTGAACTCAAGGTTTAGGTACTGTCCCCAAGCCCTCTGTGCTCAAGGCTAGTGCTCTACCACTTTGAGCCACAGCTCCACTTCCAGGGTTTGAGTAGTTGAGTGGAGATAACAGTTTCATGAGGATTTTTCTGCCTGGGCTGGCTTCCAAGTGCAATGTTCAGATTTCCGAGTCAGTGTTCTTAACATAAGGTCTTCATCCATAGAGGAAAGACTTAAGGCATTGTGTAAGAGGTGACTATCTGTTGTGCTTCACAGCAATGGGAGTGGTCAGCAGGCCCAGGTGAGGGCCTGTCCATTCAGGATGAGAAGAACCAGACAGATGAAGGCTCTTGAGAAAGACTTGACCTCCAGGCAAATTGGGGAAGTAGGAAAAGGGCCTTGATGAGGCTGAGAGAGACCTGGAATCTGAGTCCAGACATCACAAAACACCTTCAAAGGCTGGGCGGCCCAATAGCACAGTAGGGCAGGTATTCCAGCAGGCTGCATACAAGAACCATGTGTGTGCATGACCGCAAAGGAAACCAAGGACCAGATGTTGAGAGTGCTAGTGTCCACAGCTGCAATACGTAGTTGAGTCTTAGCTGGTTTTCCATTTCTTGGCCGATGGTCGCTCAAATGCATCTCCTACTCCAGCTGCCTTCTGTTGAAAGAACTTTGTGTTCTGGGCAGTTTGTTGAGCCCACCCTGACTCGAAGCAAGTGGTGTCTTGATCCAGCAGGTGGGTATATTTGGTACGCCCAGAGCATCCAAAGTTCTTGACCTGCAGGACTTTAGGAAGGAGGGTTTTGTTGAAATGATCCTCGAGGGTCGGTGCACTGAAATCTCTCTTGTAGACTTCTTCATCCTCATGCATGAAGAAAGCACCTCGGTGATAATACTTCTGTAAAAACTTGTACCTTCCTTGAACCGCTTTGTTGCTAAGGCCTTGGGCCTTTGCCCGAAGCTCAGCTCGCCTCCTCTCCTCAGTCAGGTTTCCCAGGCGTTCAGTTTCTGCTTTCTCCTTTGCAAGGGCTTCTCGACCTTCTCGGTCCCTCTTGATTCTTTTGAGCTCTCGAACTTTCCATGCCTCATATTCCTCCTCATTTTCCTCCTCAGTATGGAGAGCATCCAGTGCAGCTAGGGACCCTCTGTTCTTCCCCAGCTCCCTCTTGGCCTCCTCCTCTACAATCTGGAGTGTGTACCTGCGTCTCTCTTCAGCCGAGCGTTTTGCTTCCTGCTCCAACTCCTTGAGTTTTAGTGCTTGGACCTTCCACGTTTGAACTGTCACTCGGTCCTTCCTTTGAATGAAAAGTGGTTTCCAGTGAGGCTCCATCTCATCTTCACTGTCTATATATTCTTCATAGTCACACTCAGATTCTGACTCTTGTCCAGAATGCCGATCCTCTCCGGCCTCCATGACCTCCATCTCTTCATGTTTCCTTTCCTTGGCTCTCTGACACAGCAGGCCACGGCGCCGTTCTATTTCCTCATCGTCGATTTCTTCTTCCTCTCCTTCTCTGCCATCTTCTTGTTCCATCTGACAAGAATCTCCTTGTACTTCTGAGTCACCTTGGCCTACCATGTCAAGTGCCGCCATTTTCCGATGTTGAGCCATTCTCTCTTCCGCAGCTTCACGGATCAGATGTTGTAGGCTCCGCAGACGAGGGTCCCTCGAGGAGTCTTCCTTGCGTTTCTCTGGCTCAGCGTCTTGTTCTTTGGCTTTCTTAATGAGTTGGAAGTCTTTGTCCTCCTCATCTGAGGCCTCCATGGGGGCATAGTCTGGCCTCCTTCCCGACACATAACGTTTCACCTTCACCTTCTCCATGGAAATCTCGCCTTTCTCATTGCACACCCGGACAGCCCCAGCCGTCGACTGAACCGTTGGCTGCCTCATGCCTGGGACCCACATCTTGATGGTGCTACAGTGGTTCCTCAAACTGGACCAGTTCCAATGATCAACAGCACAAGGAACAAGCTCTTCTCTCTGGTTTCGAGGTCTGTTCAAGGAGCCTTGGTCAATTTGTCCTGCTCCTGTCGCTCCTCAACTCCTACCTCAGCAGCCTGGACCAAGAGAATGAAGTCCAGTCACTGCTGCTCTCCTTTATAAGCAGGACAGGAAGAGCCTGCACTTGAACTTCCACTTCCCCTTCGAGGAGGTCCGGCCCTGGCAGACTACCTACAGGTGCAGGGAGGGGCTGGCCCCACCTTTAATCCTCTCTGCTCAGGGGCGGAGATCTGAGACCCTGGGGCAGGAAAAGTCTGAGAGACTCTCATCTCCAATGCACTACCATAGAAGGCAGAAGTGAGCTGGGGCTCAAGTGGTAGAGGACAAGTCTGGAGCACAGAAGCTTAGGGCCCAGGACCAGAGTTGAAGACAAAACCTTTACGAATTTGAGTTTGTTGAAAGCGAGGATCTCAGCTTTGGCAATGTAGACACCTCTCATTGGAACCCTTGTTATTACCTTTGGTAGAGACAGTCTTAGTCATGTTCTGGAGTTGAACGGCCTCCTGGGGGAGAAAGGAGGTGGCGATAGAGTTTCCACAAGTACTTGCCCAGAAGGTTTGGAGGCCGCCTAGGTCAAGGCAGTTGTACGCCTAGCATCCACCTGACAGGTATATGACGCAGGAGTTTCAGTGACATTGGGTGTTGCAGGAAGAGGATTCTTAATTCCTGAATGGTGGAATCCAGGTGTCATTTAGAGCAGTCTTCTGAGATCATCCAAAGCTTGGATACCAGGAATGCTGGAATCTAGCAGAGCTGACACTATTGGCACAAACGTGTGTGGGTCTGTTATCCATGGAAAGGTCAGGAGTCAATGTGGAAGATTCTGAAACTTGGTGCCAGGTGTCTATTACCCTTGGTGAAACTAATTTGGCACATTATTCAACTTAAAATATTGCTATAGTGTGCTGGGAAGGTGGCTCAGTGGTAGAGTGCTTGCCTTGCATGCATGAGGCCCTGTGTTCGAATCCTCAGCACCACATAAGCAGAAAAAGCCAGAAGTGGCACTGTAGCTCAAGTGGTAGAGTGCTAGCCTTGAGCTGAAGAGCTGAGGGGCAGCACCCAGGACCAGAGTTCAGGCCCCACAACTGACCAAAAAAAAAGCAAAACCCTTTATGAATTTGTGTGCTTGTTGAAAACAAAGATCTCAGCTTCATCTCTGTAGGCACATAATGCTGAAATCCTTGTTACCTTTTGGTAGAGGCAGTCAACAAAAATTAAAAAATACTGGTATAGTATAGAATAGTCTTGCTAAGACTCAGCTGAAGTGGGAGCGTGTTTCTTGAATTCAGGTGTGTGTGATGTTGACAGCTGGGGTTGCTATGGAACCATGGGGAATGTGCCTTGGTTGTCTTGGATAAATGACTCTAAAGGTCAGCTATGAGTGATGAGGAAGCGGTGTAGTGAAGGAGCAAAGAATTGAGCTCAGCAGAAAAAGGAAGTTTGCCTGAAGGAATGTTGGGATAGAAATGGGATTGGGGATGGGTGTGGCTTAAGCAGAGCCCAAGGGGGCTTCTCAGCACTTTGAGTAAAGGTCTTGGGACTTAAACAATGCCATAGGTAGTAGTCAGAGTTGGCTACTGGAAATCATTGTGGGATGCGGGTAATAAGGCTGAAGACAGGAAGACCACTGGGATTCTGTTATGCTCTAGTGTGAGTGGCTGGTGACTCATCTGAGATAGAGAACAAGACGGATATTGGGCCAGAGTACAGCCTTCCCTGGCTTTGTCTTGGGGCAGGAGGGGAACTCAAGGTTGTCTGAGTTAAGACTATATGGTGGGTGAGCCCAGTTGCTCAAAGCCAAGCCACAGCCTCCAGTGCCCTGCCAGCTTTTAAACACTCATGGTCTACTATTCTGTGTTGGCAGTGGCAACCTCCCAGGAGGAGCTCTGCAAATGTAATTGAAATTAGAGGATAGTAGTTGTGGCTGCTTCCTTCCTTCCTTCCTTCCTTCCTTCCTTCCTTCCTTCCTTCCTTCCTTCCTTCCTTCCTTCCTTCCTTCCTTCCTTCCTTCTTTCCTGATCCTTCCTTCCTTCCTTCCTGATCCTTCCTTCCTTCCTTCCTGATCCTTCCTTCCTTCCTTCCTGATCCTTGTTGCTTATGGTTATGCTTATAATTGTACTATCTTTCAGCAAGCATGTTGCATATGAAACATTCTTCACTTAGAAGGAATCTATGGCCCATTAAGTCATTGTGACTGTCACATGACTGCTGACAGAAAGGTACAGCACCGCTGTTGCTGCTGCTGCTGCCCAAATCCTGTTTCTTATCAGCTCTGCCTCAAATGACTGGCGAGTGCAGGACACTAAAATCAGACATGCGGTACACAAGTGGATCCTGGTAATTATTTACTGATGGGGACCTCCAGTGATAAATGCAGCAAGTACTTTGGTGACTAAAGTCTGGGTTCCCCTAAGTAAGGCATTATGTTGACACAGGCACGTATCATGTGAGCAAGGACAGGAAAGGGGTTAATACTTAGTTATCATTGATACATTGTCTAGTTGTGTTAGGTCTGGGTGTTTTATCTGGTGGGATGGGTGTGAAAGATTTCACTGAGAGTGACCAACAAAAGTTTATTCTTCAAGAGAAAGATATGAGACAAGAATATCAGCACTAGTTTTTTATTTTTTGTTTTGTTTTTAGATTATCCAAACAGTTCTTATTTTAGAGCAAACCAAAAACCAAAGTACAGAAAAATGGCAAATATATTTAATAGCAAAAAGGGAAAGGATCACAAGTTGGCCACATCCTTTTGTTCTCGTTCATACCCAATCCCCAAATTCTTTCTACCCTTCCCAGTGGATTTGGTCAAAAACTGCCTTAGGAATCATCCCTGAAAGGTCATACATCTCAGCACCTCTTTCATTTAAGAAAGTTACCAAAAACTTTGTAAGAGAAAACTAAAATTGCTACAGCTGCCTGGAGAGTAGATCTTAATCTTTCCATTTTAAACAGATAACCTCATGCCCACAGGAGCCCATTTGGACTAAAAGCAAAACTGAGTCCATTACTCATTCCCTCTCCGGCGACCTGGAGCCTTGGAGCGGGATCTGTGCCTTCTCCCTCGAGACCTGCTTCTTCCGGGATGTCTTGGACTCCAGTTCAGATGCCTTTTTCGGCAGGGGGAGGGGCTCCTTTTGGCTGGTCTCCTCTGCCTAATGGGTGACCGGCTCCTGTTCTTCCTGTAATGCAGTGGAGATGGCCGGGGCTCGTGCTGGCCTCCATAACTTCTCTGACGGTGATCAGGTGATGGCACTGTTTCTAGCTTCTCGTCCTCCTCTTCCACATCCTCCAAGTCTTCCTCTAGAGCACTGACTCGAGGTTCCAGTTGCTTAGCCTCCTCTAGCACATGACGTTTCTGTAGGCGGGGAAGAATAATATCACAGACTTGGTCACTGTGCAGCAGCTCGTCAATGAACTCGTCTACATGCACCAGTTCAAATTCTCCATTTTGGTTCTGGCTCTTGATTTTTCGATAGTCATTGTACAAAGGCTCCAAATACTTGTAGCAATCAATTGCGCTGCCTGTCAGCCTCAGGTAAAGTGCCCCCAGCATGCGGACATACTTGAAATCTTCATTTTTAATAAATTCAACAATGATATCCTTCTCAGGTTGAATCTGAAGCATCTTCAAGGTTAAACACAGAAAGGGAGTTGGTTTTATGTTTCCACCATAGACGCCACCGACAAACTTCAACTCCATGGCTTTATCCACTACCAGTTCAGCTGTAAGCCCAAAGCACTCTTCTTTCCAGTACTTGGACTCGTAGATTCGAGTCCGGATGATCTTCTCCACCAGATATTGAGGGTTGGTGCCATGGATACTCTGTGCATCCTTCACCGTGCGGTTGGCCATTTTAGCCGGCTTTCTGCAGTGAGGTTTTAGGGGTGTCTTGTAAGGAAGTGGTTGTAGGAAGCTGAGCAGGGATAAAATGGGAGGTAGTTGGTTTCCTTTGACAATGTGGCTAATGCCAAACAATAACGGCCACGAAGAAGAAAACTGCTTCCCTCCTTGGTGACTCCATCCACACCAAATGCCACTGAGCAGAAGCTGAAACCCAGGCCCAGCTGTCACCACCGCTTCTATCACTGGGAGGCTTTACCTCTATGGCTGGCTGTGAGTTCTGCCCAAGGTGGTCACCTCGTTCTGTTCCGGGCCTCCATCTGCTGTCCTGCTCCTGCTTGCTTCTCACCTCCTTCCTCCAGCAGCCTGGACCAAGGGAATGAGGTCCAGGCCATGATGCTCTCCTTTATATGCAAGACAGGAAGAGCCCGCCCCTCAACTTCCACTGGCCCTTCTGGGAGGCCGGGCCCTGGCAGAATCCTTTAGGCCTAGGGTGTGGCTGGCCCCACCTTTAATCCTGAGTAGTCACGAGGCTGAGATCTGAGGATGGAGGTCCCAAGACAGCTGGGCAGGAAAGTCTGAGAGACTCTCATCTCCCATTCGCTACCATAAAAGGCAGAAATGGAGCTGAGGCTCAAGGGGTAGAAGACAGGCCTCCAGCACCAAAGCTTTAGGGCCCAGGACCAGATTTGAAGCAAAAACCTTTAGGAATTTGTTTGTGTGTTGCAAACAAAGGTCTCAGCTTTATCTATAGGCACATATTGTTGCAATCCTTGTGACCCCTTCGGGTAGAGGCAGTCTTAGACCTATTCTGGAGTTGAACGGCCTCCTGGGGGAGAAAGGAGGTGGCGGTAGAGTTTCCACAAGTACTTGCCCAGAAGGTTTGGAGGCCGCCTAGGTCAAGGCAGTCGTACGCCTAGCATCCACCTGACAGGTAGATGGTGCAGGAGTTTCAGTGATATTGGATGTTGCAGGAAGAGGATTCTTAATTCCTGAATGGTGGAATGCAGGTGCCATTTAGAGCATTCTTCTGAGATCATCCAAAGCTTGGACACCAGGAACGCTGGAATCTAGCAGAGCTGACACTGTTGGCACAAACACGTGTGTGGGTCTGTTATCCACGGTAAAATCAGAAGCCAATGTGGAAGGTTCTGAAGCTTGAACTCTCACGGGTCCTTCTGCCCAAGTCATTTCAGTAAGAGTTGAGGGAAGGGAGGGAGAGGGGAGTCCTGGGGAGAGGGGGGGAGTCCTGGGGAGAGGGGGGGAGTCCTGGGGAGAGGGGGGAGTCCTGGGGAGAGGGGGGAGTCCTGGCTGGGGGGGGCACTGTAGACTGGCAGAGGTAGTTTTGGGTGACAGCAGCCAGAGAGGAAAAGATGGTAGGGATGGAGTAAGACAAACAGATGCAGGATCGTGAGGCATTGTGTGTCCATAGGTTTGGAGGATGGGCTGGAAGAGGCGTGGTGGTCCTTTTCATGAAGGGAACAGAAGGAAAGGTAAACGGAAGATGAAGGAGATGGCCTGGAAGAATGTGATTGCGAGGCAGGGTCTGAGGGCCGGTAGCTAGAGGAGTCTCCGATGGAAAACACCAGGGCCACCCTTAGGGGTGGTTGAAGGAGCAGTAGGGGAGAAGGGGTGGGAAGGAGCATTTGACAGGTGTGGAGGTCTAATTGCTGGTACAGAGCCAGGAAGGACAGAGTGTCAGGAACTTCTCTTTTGCAGAGTTGTGGCAGCAAAGATTGCTGAAGGATAGTCCTGAAATGGAGAGCTATGTGTAGGCCAAACCTCTTGGTTGAATAGTTGGTACTCTCACCAAAGGACCTTGTATAGGTGATCAAAGGCTTTCCTGTTTGATCAGCCAAACCCATCTTCTTGTGTTTAAGGAGATACTCAACAAGGAGACCTTTGCAAGTACCAATCGAGTGCAGCCAGAATAATAGCTAAGGATGAAGGGGGTGGGGGGGCATTAGCAGCCCAGAGTTCAGCGAGAAGGCAGCCCACCCCCTGCCTACCCCACTCAGAATGACTCGGGAGCTCCCAGGTTTCAGCTTCCCTAAAGCCAAAGGGAAACTTCTGAGTTGACTTAACGGAGGGCTTGTGAAGAGCCAGCTCATCCCGCCTCAGTCCCCTGGTAGAGAGAGGGTACACAGTCAATAGCTGGGTTTGTAAATCAAGGGAGCCACCATCATGTCCTGAAGAAATGTCTTCCCTTCAAGAAACCAAAATGAAATAAGACTTACCCAGTCACTGAGAGGTATGTCCTGAGATGGTGTGCAGCTGAGCTGTGAAGGGTCTTCCTGAAAAAAAAAGCCACCAGAGATAGATATTAGGTCTGGAGGCTTCAGCCCATGTGCAGAAATTGAAAGAACCAGAAGCTGCCTCCCCGAGGCTCAACACAGCCACCCGGCTGCTCAGGAGGCTGAGATCTGAAGGACTGAGGTTTGAAGCCATCCTGGGTATCAAAATCAGACTCCATCGCTAATTAACCAGCAAAAAGCAAGACTAGAGGTGTAGCTTGAACGGTAAGGTGCTAATCAAATGACTGTGAGGCCCTGCATTCAAGTCTAGTACCACAGAGTGGCAAGCAAGAGAGAGGTTTGACCCCTTTCTTGGAAAGTGAATAGATGCAGCATCAGCTCAGAAGAATCAGGGTCTAGTTTTTAAGGCTTGTATAAGGCAGAGGTTGTAGGGAGCTGGGTGGGGATTGGAATAGACCCCCCTGCAGGTGGTGGGGTGTATGTGTCTTGATTGGACCAGCACACCGACCAGGGTATGGTTTTGTCTGGAGATAGGCCAGAGTTTCTGGGAGTTACTAAGCTGGGTCTGAAAAAGATAGGCAAGGTTAGATAGGAACCTGCACAAAATGGGGCCAGGCCAGTCTGTTGCCTTTACATCGGCGTGCTTGTCTCAGCAATCTCCAAAGGGCTGAAGGTGTCTTCTGGGGACGGGAATTATTTTCCCTGGTGCGATGGGTTGGGGCTTTATTCCTGGTGGTGATGTGTGGGTTGTTCATCAGACATCAGATTGCCCACTTTCCTGCCAACCGTGACTCTAGAATGGAGGGCTGAGGGAGCAGTTTGTCCACTGGATGGGAGAATGTAGGAACAGCAGACAATTAAAAGGAAGTCAGTACATGAACAAATGTGTTCTTTCCATCCTGGCTTCATTTTGTGATGTGAAAAGGTGAGGTACTTATCGTAGAGGTGTGGAAGAATTTCTCTTACACCATTTTAAAAAGAGTGTTAATTTAACTTTAGGGAGCAGGGAAATAGACAAAATCATATTCCTACTTCAATGGGCCTCTTAGCAAAGTTTGCCAGGATCTTTTCTCGTTTTAAAGGAATGCTTATTTTAATGCAATACTTTTTTATTTTTACATTTCATCTTATACACTTTTATATTTTATAAATTCCTAAATTGTTTTTTGTGGCTGCTTATTTTTTGATGCTATATTTGAGCATATTTATTCTGAGTTGTTATCTCAGATTATTTTTTAGGTGTCAATATGTGAGCGTACGTCAATATCCTTATATTTTGGAATTCTGGAAAATACCTGTATTTCTCACAGCTCAAGACACTAACTAAATGAGATGGAAATATGTCCTCTTCCATGTAATGGGAAATATTTGACCACAGGATTGCTCAGGGTCAATTTGAATTTTTCACATCTCTAGGGACTTCAGGATTGGAAGCAAAAAACACTGCCTTCTGGTGGAGAATGTTTGGACACTCCTCTTTTCTCATTATTCTTCTATCCCTACTCTTTCCTACTTCTTTTAAGTAAGTGATGGGAAAAGTGAAAAAAAGCCTAGCAATGGGTATGTAGGCCATAGTATTCTGAACAGAATATAACATGTATGTGTGTGTGTGTGTGTTGCCAGGACCTATCTTTAGCAGTGATGTGGTTTTCTTCCCCATTATTCCAATGGATTGTAGTTTCCATGATGAGTACAATTTCTAAGAGATGTTTCTCCTCTTTTGAGCGATTTTAGAAACACTGTGGATTTTTAAACATGGAGAGTGTCTCCATAGAAATGAAGGTAGCATTGTTTGATCGGTGGCAAAGTATTCCTGGAAAATGGATGAGGGAAAGCACATGGCCTAATGCTAGGGGCAGAGGGAGAGAGACAAGAGGACTATACAGAGCAGTTGATGGGAGAGCTGAGGACTGAGAGTCCCACACAGGCCAGACACATGTAGCATCCCTTCAGAGATCTGGATGCTGGAAGGGGGATCTGAAGGCAGGGACCTCCGTGGTTTAGAAGAATTGTGGCAGAACAAAATGATGAGTACTGTCCTGAAGCCAGAATTCTTGTGTTGGCAGTTTGTAAGTTGACCGTGTCACATTACAAAGAATATAGCCCAGAATTGAGCCTGTAAGAATGGATGTCATGTTCCTGGTTTGGAAGGAAAGGACAGTATCACTGTCATTGGGCACAGCATCTCCTCCTGGACAGACAATCCAAAAACCTGAGCCTAGATCAAGGGAAGGAGAGCATCCCATAGTCCATGAGCTAGGTGACTTTTGGGGTCACTTTTGAAGCATCCTTCTAGTGCTTCAGAAAGTTAGTATAATACGCTTTGAATTCCCCAGCTTTCTTCCTTCCAGCATCTGTCTCCCTATGACCTTGCCATCTATCTCTGGTGTTTTCCATGGCATGTGGGGTCTCTCTGGAGGAGGATTTCCCCGCAGGCCTGGTAAATCCACAATAAAGAACTTCATAACGAAGAACTTCGTAATGAAGATCATGGTACTTTGGTGTTGAGTCCATCTGAATAGCTAGATAGAAAGTAGACATTCTAAAATGTTCTTACAAGTTCCTGTCTTCCTGGTACCTTTTATTCTTCGTATTTTTCTATGTCTTTCAGCTCAGGGTGTATTTTTATAAATAGCACTGCTAGATTCTGATTTTAAAACAGTCTTAACAACATTTACTTAACTGGAGATTTCTTTCTCTTTATTTTCATTCTGGATAGTTATACATCTCCACTATCTTATGTTGTGTCTTCCCCTT